AGTTGTTAGCCTTCACCTTGGCAAGCCGCCTAAGGATACCTGCTGCTACCAAGGCACAGTCCACGTTGGGAGGGTCCATAAAGGCCTGAGGAATCAGCTGGGTGTAGGAATCCTCCAGGCTTCCCTCCTTTCCCTCCGTACAGAAAGGCAGAAGAAACTGCCCCCAGGTCCTAGTTGGTCCTGCCTGGGGGAGTGGGTGGGAGGGTGGCCTCCTTCCAGTTCCAGGCCTCCAGGGAAAAGGAATCACCTGGGGAGTCTCTACAACAGGCTCTGTGCTCCCTTCCCCACCACACCACAGCCCGGGCATGCGCCTTACCGCATTGGCTTCCATTCCCGACATCTCAACCGGCTCCTGCACTTGAAGGACGAGGCAGCTTGGGGAGGCGTGATTCCTTCATATCAGGCCATCTTACAGAACACCAGAGTTCCCTTCCTGTGAAACAACCCTCAGTGGGGACTTGGCACCACATAAGCCCCACAAAACCTGCAGAGCAATGACCAACACCAAGGTTTCTCTTACATTTCACGGGAGAAAACCAGCTCGAGAAACTGCCCTCACCCACTAATGGCTCTTCCAAATCCAGACCCTTAAAGGTTCTGCTTCAGAGCTGTCGCATGAGCTTGGACAACCTGGCAGCTCTCCTGGGCCCTTGGTTTCCTGAGGCAAAACTTCTAAAGATGAAATAGAACCAACCCTTTGGTAGTTAAAAGGCTCATGGGAAAGGCAAAGTGTAGTTACCACCCAGCCCCACACTCAGTGTTGTAGATGAGATGCAAAGCCCAGCATGTGTCACCCACCTAGCACTGTGGGGTCCGCGCAGGGAGAGAGGTAAAATAGACAAGAGAATGAACAGCATGCTCTAGCCCCGTGGTTGGCAAACTACGGCTCACAAGCCACATGCGGCTCTTTGGCCCCTGGAGTGTGGCTCTTCCACAAAATACCACGGCCTGGGTGAGTCTATTTTGAAGAAGCGGCGTCAGAAGAAGTTTAGTTTAAAAAATTTGGTTCTCAAAAGAAATTTCAATCATTGTACTGTTGATATTTGGCTCTGTTGACTAATGAGTTTGCCGACCACTGTACTAGGCTACAGGAAAAAGAGCCAAATTCTTTATCCTGGCTCAGCCATCTATAGCTTTGCAGTCACAGGCAAGTCATTTAACCTTTTGAATGTCTTAACCTTTCCAAATGTTGGTTTCTCCACCGGTAAAAAGAGGACAAGAACAGGTGCCACGCCAGGCTACCTTAAGGATCCGTCAGTGAACTAGGGAATTTAAAGGGCTTAATGAACTGTTAAAATATGACAGATGGGCAGGGTCACTCCTGTCTGGATTCTTCACAGCTGCCCTTGTGTGGTGAGCAGATGCTCTCATTCACTGAGCTCTCATTCCCTGTTCTTCAAACACTAACAATGGCCACCTTGTGTTGGACACTAGGGGCTACGGAGGAGTAAGACAGCCACTCTCCCAAGGAACTCACAATCTAGAAGAGACAGCACCTGAATACATAATTCTGGCCACGGCTGAATACCAATCACTGTGAGAATGGCACACGAGGCAGGTGCCAGGTGAATTCAGTCCTGACCTCAAGGCCCCATGGTGAGCTTGGAGGGGGAAGGAAGGTGAGAAAACAGCAACAGCAGCACAGGTCCAGGGCAGGAGGGTGAGATATGAGAGGAGCACAGTATGGTCAGGGGTAAAGATTAACGGAGTCAAGTCAGGAGGGCTGGAGCGCCCAGGTGAGAAGTGACTGGGGGGGGCCTGGGGAAGGCTCTGAACAGGATGGACTGGACCACCAACGCAGCTCTTTCTGGAAACCCCCTCATCGAGTCTCTCACCCCGAAAGAGGAGTTATCACCTACTTTATGGAGAAAGAAAGCTGGAAAGAAATTATTCACACGGGGAAAGGAAGTCAGAAACCTGCCTTCTCTTCACACTGAGGCTGAAAGAGGGCCCCTCGTGAGAACCCCCAAATCTCCCAAACACTTTAATTAGGGCGATGGGGAGAGATCCTGGGGGCGGGGGGGAACCTCCACTTTCCGCAACGAAGGAACCTAAGGTCACTCTGCCAGCAGAAAGCACCTCACGTCTGGTCCCAACTCTGCTGCCCTGCATGGGCTCAACTTCCAGACACGGCTCAAGCCTTTTGTCAAAGTCCCCTGTGTGCCAGGCTGCGCGGAACATGCCTGACAGTGCCACACGACATGCTTTCCTGTTTCTCTCCGAACGTAACCTCCAAAGACTCATTTGGGCCTGAGTCTCACACAGCAGCCAGAGATGTTTCTGGAACACATTGCTAGTCATATTGTTCCTGTACTTAAAATCCCTACAGATTTAGATTCCTGGAGGCCCTCCCAACCTCAGTAACGGAACTCGCCACAGCCTACAATCTGGCCTGGCACAAACCCGCCGCACACCCCGCCTCTGCTCGCCCTCCAGCCACCCTGGCCTCCTTCCAGCCCTGACACCACCCTGAGGCCGTGTCCACACTCTTCCCTCCCCAAAGCTCGTTCTTCACGGTTCTTCCGAGCTCAGCCCCAGCATCACTTCCCCTTTACTGTCCACCCCCGGCACCCCGTGTCTCCTCCGTAACTAACTGTACTGTGCCGCTGGTCCCACCGGCAGGGACGTCCCTCGGCACAGCACAGAGCCCGGGCCAAAAACATGTGTCCGTTAAGAAATGAATGAACGAGAGCACCGACTTAGCCTCACACCCTCCCCACCATCTCTGACCCCGTCCCCTGGCCCCGGGCTGGTTCTTACCGCCTCTGCGCCCCACAGCCCCTCTCAGGCCGCGGCCGAGTCCACACACGGTCTCCCGCGGGGGCCGGCAGGGCAGGGCCCGGGCTCATCACTCCTGGTCCCGGGCGCCCCGCGGGCCCGCGGCGCTGAGCGGAACTCTGCTGCGCGGACAGCGGCGCCGGGGGCCGCGGGGGACCTTGCCCGGCCACGCCTCCCCTCCCCCGCAGCAGCCCGACCCGGCGGGGCCAAGGTCGGCCAAGTCCTCGCGGCCGGCCCGGCGGTCCCGGACCCATCCGCAGAGGCCAGGCCCCGAGGGCGAGGAGGCAGCGGCGGCCCGGCCCGCAAGGCCCGCGGCCGAGACAAGAACTCTCCGGCGTAGCTCGCCCACCGAAGCCGGTGACGCGGCCGGGCCGTTACCCCTGGGGGACTCAGTTTCCCCCCTGTGCCACACGAGGCCGACAATACCGGCTCCCGCGAGAACTGGCGCGGGAACGGCAGCTGCGAAGCCCGCCCGGCGCCCGCACTAGGCCGCGCTCCCTCCTCCAGGGCGGCACTCGGACCCGGTTTCTCACCTGAGACTCCGGCTCCCGGACTCCCTCACCTCACAGCCCCTCCTACTACGGCCCGCTGCCCGGCCTCCACGGCCCTCACTTCCGCTGCCCGCCTCCGGAAGCGGTCTCCGCACATGCGCACAGAGCCGCTCCCGCCTCCAAAGCGGCCGCAGGAGGCGGGGCTAGCGCTGCGCCTAGTGGGCGGGGCGGAGGCCCTAGGAGAGGCCACCCCCCTAGGGGCCACGCCCCCTGTCGGAGCTCCGAGATGTCAGAGGCCTGATTGGTCGCAAACCCTTCAGGTCTCCGTCCTGTTGGCTCTCAGTGACGGTCCGACCTTTGGAATCCGAGGCCTGTCGCTGCTGAGCCCCCAAGTATGGTGGTGTCTACTGTCCCCTCCGTCAGCAAGCGGGGAACCCTGGCGTCCCAGGCCCTGTGGCTGCAGTTTGCCTTGCACATCCCCCTGGTCCCCTTCACAGTTCATACTTTCAGCCAGGACAGCCTTCTCTCCAGCAAAACGGGCTTCTCCGACTCCTGCCCTCCAGCGCTTTGTAGCTTCCCCCTATTTTAGCCTTTATGTATTTCACACACACACACACACTCTCTCTCTCTCTCTTATTTTCAGTGACTTTGTTGACCAGATGGCATTGGGAAAGAGAACACCCACATTCCCACATTCCTTCCAAGCCCACTCACTCTGATCTCCATGGCATCCAGGCCTGGGTCACATGCCCTCCTCGGACCTCAACACGTGGCTGTGCCTGACACTCAGGTTGCAGGTTTTTTGTTTTTGTTTTATTTTTTTTCCTCTCAAATCCTTAAAGTTCCAGCTGCCAGGCACAGCCAGTCACACATGGCCTTGGGTAAGGAGTCCATACTTGCTTTAATGTTCTGCTGTTGCCCTCTTGAAATTTATTTTTTAAAAACAAGCATTTTCATTTCGCACTGGATCCTGCAAATTATGTGAGATGGTCTTGCCCAGAGACCTCAGAGGCTGTCCTTGAGCCCTACCGTATTTCAAATGATGTTGACTTCTAGGTCCAGCCCTTTATCCAGGACGGCGAGCTGTTGCTTAGTCACTGATTTCACTCCCTAGGTCAATGGCAGACCTTGAAAATCCACCCTAGCTGTCTCTCCTGGACGTGGTAGATGCTGTCTTGGTGCCCCACCCAGGCCCCCTTTACTCTGCCAGGGAAGCCATTCTCCAGCTGCTGTGTCGGCTACTCACAGCTGCCCCCTTTTCTGGAAAACCGCCCTTGCAGGAGGGAGAATGGAGGCCCCAACTCTGGTGTGGTTTATGCTCCAGAGCCTTCCCCTGTGAGCAGGCCAAGGCCAGGCTTTGATACTATCCCTTCCCAGCGTTTTCCCTTTCCCATTTCTATCTCACTCTTTCTATAGTTTTTTTTTTTTTTTCTCAAGTGCACTCCCTCAAAAAATAAAAAAATTACCTAATGCCTGTCTTGAGCTGTGCTTATAAGACAATGGGTTTAACTTTATAAACACAGCATCAGATTCTAAATATAGCGAGTGACACCAGGAGGGCATCACAGTTATTTTCAGAAAGTCACTCCGGCCCTCCGGTGACGGGTAAGATAGACCCCCAAGGCATTCCAGCAATGTCCCCTGACCCACCTGGCAAGCCAAACCCGAGTCATATCAAGGACAAAACCGAAGTGTTAACATCCCACTCAAAGGACAGGCATTCACACCGCCCTCGTATCTTCAGGTTTATTACAGGACGAGTTGGGGACAGGGAAGGAAGTGGCAGAGGGGTGACAAGAGGGAGCCGGGGCCCTCCCCGCCACGAGCTTGGCGGCACATGGAGGTCAGGCAGAAGCACCTGATGAAGATGCTGAAAGCCAGAACAGTCAGCTCCTCACGTCACCCAAGCTTGGAAGCACCGGGAAAGGTCTCGGCCCGTCCCTCCGTGAAGGGCGTGGAAGCATGCCTCCCAGCGGACAGGAACCTGGCTGAGCTCGCTAGCTCACGCCTCGTTTGGTTAGAGATCGGGAGGGAACGAAAGGGTGGTTTGAAAGGCTTTCCTTTTCACCTCAGTGAAACCAGGCGGGGGCGTGGTAAGGGTGCAAAACACCCGCCATCAAGACTCAGGTCGCATCTCAACTCTACACTGAGGGACGGTGGGCAAGCCAGCTTGTTTTCCCGAGACTCGGTTTCTTCATCTGCAAAATGGGAACAATTGACATCCACCCGCCAGGCTGGCTGTGAGGGTTAAATGAGAAAAGACACGGAATCTTAACCAGGTGCCTTCGCTGAGAAGGCTGGGGCTGTGTCTGGGGAAGCGTCTGCCACCTTCCTCCTCCAGGGTTAAGGGTGGGAGCAGGCTGGGCTGCCAGGCCTTAGTGAAAGGCCGGGGGCCTCGTGGGCTGAGGGAGAACGAGGGCGGACTGGCCCTCTGAGGGCTGTTTGTTTAAAAAACTAGAAGAGAAGGGAGAGGGGACTGCTGCTTCCCAGGGTGCCGCTGCAGAGACATCAAGCTGGGTCCATCTGGGATTTCAGACGCAGCCATCATGGGCAGCTGCTGGAGGAAGCCTTTGCCCCTTCCTTCTCCTTAGCACGGGCTATAAAAATACCTACAAACGGTGAGAAAGTTCACGTAAAAACACTCTCCTGCGAGTATAAAAAAGAGACTGGCGTGGTCAGTGGCTTGGGATGTGAACTGAGGCCCCAAGCGCGGCCAAGGAGCGTCAGCACCCTGCAGGGCGCACAGGCTGGTCCGGGCGGCTCTGCTCCTTGGCTGGGCTGCACTCCCGTGGCACTGAGGTCTCAGGGCCACTCCGGGCTCTGGTCCCAGCAGTGCTGCTGCACCCTGTGCTGAGGTGGGCGGGGTGGGCGGGGGTGGTGGCGTGGGTCTGGGCCTCGGGGACCCCCTTCCTAAGGGCATAGATCTTCCCAGGCAGATGGCCTCCAGGAAGTCCCCAGACAGGCTTGGGGTCCTCTCATTAAGTCGAATAGACTAGACTGGTCTGGGGAGCCAGGGTCTGGGGTACTGTGTGGTTTCTGCTTCTGAAGGAGGGCCGTCTCTTCGAGCCTGACCCCCTGGCGGCCGGGCACAGAGGGCAGCGAGGGCTGTGCCAGGAAGAAGGCTCCGGACAAAAACAGGGGCACCTCTCTGGCACCCCACCCACGCCACGCCCTGCCTCCCAGGCGTCTGGGAGTGGTGGGGTGGGAACGTACAGGAGCCTCGCTGTGGAGGCCTCTGCCCAGCTCCCGCCCCCTCCCCAGGCGGGGCGGCCTCTAGGGCTGCAGGAGGGGCAGGCCGCGCCGCAGGCCCTCCTTCAGGAACTGCATGTAGGTGGCCGTGGACGGGTCCTCGAAGGTGGACGCGAAGCTGAAGGCGCCGCTCTCCACGTCCTCGGGCTTCATGGAGGTGATGTCCAAGAAGTAGTTGGCGTTGAGGTGGTGGACCTTGGGGAAAGGCTGGGTGAGGTGCCGAGCCCGGGGCTCAGAGCCCCCTGCTCGGCCGCTCGGCCGCTCCTGGGAGCAGTGGCCACTCTCAGGCCTCGGCTGCCCTCACCGAGGCGGGCGGCCGCAGGCAGAACCCGTCGGAACCCGGCCCCGGGCTGGCTGCCTCCGTCCTGCCTCAGAGCTCACCCTCCTCATCCACTAGCAGAAAACCTAGTGCCCTTCACTCACCTTTCCCTCGCCCTCACCCCTTCTCTGCTCCCGTGACCCCTGCACTCCGCTCCCCTCTGTCAGGAAGAGCAGGAGCTGCTGAGGCCCAGGCGGACCTCAGTTCAAAGCCAGCTGCACTGCTTCCCCTTTTTTTAATTCTCACCCAAGGATATGTGTGTGTGTTTTTTTTGTTTGTTTGTTTTTTTCCCTTTTCCTTTTTTTAGAGAGAGGAAGGGAGAGAGAAACACTGATGTGAGAGAGACACATGGATCAGTTGCTTCCTGTACATGCCCATATGCACTCCGAGCAGGGACTGAATCCAAAACCCAGGTATGTGCCCTGACCTGGAATTGAACCTGCAGCCTTTGGGTGTCTGGGACGATGCTCCAACCAATGCAGCCACCCGGCCGGGGCCCAGGGCATCTCTTACTTGTGCAACTGTCTCCCAACCTCTGGCCTCTGAGCCTCGGACTCCTTGTTGGTAACTCGGGTGTTTGTAACCATCTAGCTCTCAGCCACTCCGAGAATCCCACTACAGGATGCGCTTGGGTGCGTGGAAGGGGCCCTCAGGGGGAGGCAGGGTCTAGACTAGGGGTGTTGAACTCAATCAGAGAAGGGGCCAAAATCTAAAATCCAGCCTAAATCGCGGGCCAAATGGTTTACTGAACAGTCATAAACTGTCATTGTGATGGAAACGCAGCGGAGTGAAGTGATGACAGCGCAGTGCGGGCCACATTGCAAGGCCTGGCGGGACGGATTTGGCCCGTGGGCCTTGTGTTTGACACATGTGGTCTAGACGTTCGGCTGGGCCTGGGGTGGGGTGGGGTCCCTGGTCCCCTCTACCTGTCACAAGGCCTGCCTGTCCCTCCTCCTTCCATCCCAGGGCTGAGAGCAGTGGTCCAGGGGAGCGCTCCTGGCCCTGGCCTTTCCACGCTGCTGCTACGCTGTGCCTGCTGCTCCCCAGCCCCTCGGTGCTCTTGGGGTCCCCCTTCCCATAGGAGCGTCCTGACCCTGCACGAGGCAGGCGGACTGGGCACCAGGATTCCCATTTTACAGATGTGATCACTGAGCCCAGCAAGGGGGTGGTGGGGGAGCCAGGCCCGAAGCCTGTGAGGTCTGGGAGCCTGTGCCCTGGCCGGCTGCGTCCTCTGCCCACGGTGCCAGCCGGGCTGGTGTAGGGGGGGGACCTACCACGGTGCCGTTGGGCAGGCAGATCATCATCTCCACGGGGAAGCTGTACTTCTCCAGGTGCAGGTCCGCCAGCTGCTTGAGGGACGGGTTCTCCTGGTTGCTCTGTGGGGACGGCGGGGCGCGCTCTTGAGCCCGGGCCCCCAGCATTGTCCTGGGGGCTCCCAAGAGGCTGTCCCCCCCTCACCTGCAGGTCCTCCAGCTCCTTCACCAGGGCCCAGGTGCTGACGAAGCTCTCGCTGAGGAGGGCGAGGACGGGCGAACTCTCCAGCACCGTCTCCCGGAGAGTCCGCCCCGAACCTGTGCAGGGAGAGGCGAGGCGGGAGACTGAGGCCGCCCCACGTCTCGCTGGGTTTCCGCCAGCAAATAACCTCCTGGACTACGCACCAGGTGACAGAGCAGAGTCTGTAGGTGCTGAATGAATGGCAGCTGTGATTCCCATCGAGAACAGCCTGGCGTCTGGGCGGAGGCTTAGGGTGAGCCCTACCCAGGCACCTGCAGTCCCCAATCCACAAACGGAGCCCCAGGCCTTTGCACAGACTGAATGGGACCCTGGCTGCACAAACTCCTACTCATCCTTCAGTCTCATCTTAAATGTCACTCTCTGAGAACCCCCCCCTGGCACCAGCCACACCTGCCTGCCGGGACCTGCCGGTAACGCTGCACCCAGCACCCAGCCTGGGCGGGGCCCGGGGGCCCAGGGTGTTTGCCGATGACCGGGCGAGGACAGGCCCCTCGTTTTACTCATCTTCGTACCCCTGGGGCGACACCCGAAGAATTGGTGCCCAGCAGGTCCCCAGCGAGTGCTCTGAGTCCGCGAATGCAGCCCAGCCTCTGGCTCTGTCTGTTATCTCACCGAGTGCCTCACCGGGCGGCACAGGCACTGCCACAGCCGTTGTCCTCCCTCCGGGAGGGAAGCAGGTCCCCTCCTTCACTCCTGAGAAACCAGAGGCTCAGGGAGGAGTCACTTGGCCGAGGTTTCTAAGCTGAAAGTGGCTGATTGGGCTCAGCTTGTCCCAGCAGCTCCCTCTGAGCTCAGCACAGAAGCCTCCCTCACCCTCACCCTGCCCCGCCCCTGCCCCCCCCTGTGCAGCCCCTCATGCTCCGCAGGGGAGGCCCAGGTCTTCGGGGCCCCTGTGCCCCACAAAGTGAAGTGTCCCCATCCTCCCTGGGGATGGCTGGCCTCTCACCTCAGCAGGACTGGTCGTCCAGCGCCCCCCACAGCAGGATCGAGTGCACCAGCTTGTTCTGGGCCTTGGCGCGGTCGAAGGCCTCGGTGAACGGCAGGTAGGTGACCTGGGGCCGAGCCGAGAGAGAAGCTACAGTGGGCAGCCAGGGTCCCACTCAGGTGCCGAGTGTGTAATGTGTGAGAGTGTGTGTGTGTGTGTGTGTGTGTGAGAGAGAGAGAGAGAGAGAGAGAGAGAGAGAGAGAGAGAGAGAGAGAGAGAGAGAGAGAGAGAGAGAGAGAGAGAGAGAGAGAGAGAGAGAGAGAGAGGGAGGGAGAGAGGGAGGGAGAGAGAAGGGGTGCTGCCGAGGTGGGGGACACCTCCTCCAAGTTCTAATGGCAAAGGGAGGCTCCCCAGGCGCCCTGCAGGGAGGAAGCCCAACAGCAAGCCCTACCCCAGCCCAGCGGCCTGTGCCCCCTGCTGCTCCCACAGCTCCAGCCCCTGCCCTGCCCCACAGACCCTGCCCCTGCCCTGCCCCACAGCTCCTGCCCCTACCCCTGCCCTGCCCCACAGCTCCTGCCCCTACCCCTGCCCTGCCCCACAGATCCTGCCCCTACCCCTGCCCTGCCCCACAGCTCCTGCCCCTGCCCTGCCCCACAGCTCCTGCCCCTGCCCTGCCCCCGCAGATCCAGCCCCTGCCCTGCCCTGCCCTGCAGACCCTGCCCCTGCCCTCACGCACGCCCAGCTCACCTTCTTGAAGGGGTACATGGCCACCTCCAGGCGCCGGGCAGCCTCCTCCCAGCTCAGCTCCTGCTGCCACCTGATCTCCTCAAAGACAAACTGCAGGGGCTCCCCTGAGGGCAGGCGGCTGTCAATCACGTTGCCGTCCTCATCCACGATCACAGAGGGTATTGAGGGGCCCGTGGCCTCCAGCTCCATCTAGGCAGAGGTCAGGGAGGGCCGGCCTCAGGGAGGGCAAGGATCCTCAAGGGGCCCCGAGAGGCCCTCGGGGACACCCGCCCGTTGCAGAGGTGGGGAACGGGGCCAGGGAGGGGGCCTGGCCCGGCTGCGCAGAGAGCCGGGCCAGGGTCGGCTGGGCTCCGTCGCTGCGGGAAGCTGTCGGAGGCCAGTGGGGTGTTGGGTTCCGTGGGCAGAAACAGGTGCCAGGAGCTCCGCGCCCCACCCTGCAGCGCCCTGAGGCTCCTGCCCGCCGGGCAGGGCCAGGGTGTGGTCACCTGGGGGATGTAGCCGATGTCCACCTCCATGTTGCTGTTCTCACTGGCCCCGTACAGCCACTCCATGTCCACGTTCAGAGACCTGGGGCCGGCGGGAGGGTGGCCGGGACAGAGCACCGTCAGCAAGGCCCCCGGACCACCGGCCGGACAGGGCTGCTGAAAGCTCGCAGCTGTCCCGTCTCACAGAGGAGGACCTGAGGCTTGGCAGGCTGAGCCCGGGCAGAGCTGCTGGGACTGGGACTGCAGAGCTCCCCTCCAGCGGCCCGGCCCTCCCCGTTCCCAAGGGCTTTCCCACCCGTCACTCCTGTATCGCCCGCCACCCCTCCAGGCAGAGGTCAAGGCGCATCCCCCAGACACAGGGCAGTGAAAACCCGGCACAGGCCTCCAGCAGGTCTGGCCAGACCAGGTGCCACCTGCAGGTCTGCCACATGGGGGCGCCCGAGGACTGGCAACCAACCACTTTGGGCACAATGAGCTGGGCGCCCTGGGTGCCTCGGGCCTGGCCATTTGCCCCCCTCCGTCTGTTTCATCCAGCCCAGGACCTCCACTTCCACCCTGGGGTGGAGGCAGGTGAGCCTGGGCAATGCAGGTGCCTGCCTGCTGAGCGGCGGGAGGAGTAAAAGTAACAAGAGGTGGCCACTTCTTGGGGTAACTTTCTCCATCCCCCACCCCTGCCAGCCTCCTGTCCAGAAAATGAGGGAACTGGGGCCCAGAGAGGCCAGGGCGCTGCCCACAGACACGCTGGTGTCACGGCTGGAAGTTAACTCCGGGCCTCCCTGCTCCCAGCCCACCCCGTGTCCCTGCACAGTCACTGAGCAGCCACGTGGGAATCAGGAAAGACCCGAAACCCGGTCTCCAGGTCTCCTGTCCCCCTTCCCTTCCCCACCAAGAGGCTGACCCATCCCCGGAGCCCCCTGAGACCCAGCAACTACGGCCAGTGAGGGCCTGCTGCCCTCAGGCCTTTGCCTGTGCTGTTCCCTCTGCCAGGCTAAACCCTCCCTCCCCCAGGCCTCTGCGTAGATGCCCCCTCCTCTGAGGACCCTTCTGGGCCCCAACCAGCCGAGCCCCTGCCCAGCTGCCGGCCGCCCCGGGTGGTATGAGCAGGCCGTGGCTCAGGGCCTGCATTAAGAGGGCGGGGCGGCTGCCGCTGCACTGGGCCCCGGGCACAGAGCTGGTGGCCAGGTCCATGCAGACCAGGACACGCTGGTCAAGTGATGACATGCCCCCCTCCAGCCGCCTCTTCCCGGTCAGCTCCGGGCCCTCCCTGGAGAGGAGGCTCCGGGAGCAAAGGGCAGAGGCTGAGGGGCCTCGGCACCGCTGCCGGAGGCAGTGCCCACCTGTGGTTGGGCACGAAGAGCCGGAAGTCGCGGACGTGGGTGGCATCTTTGGAGAGGACGATGTGGCCGGTGAACTGGCCCGGCGAGAACCAGAAGGGGAAGTCGGGCGGCTCACTGAGCTGGAACTCGGCGTGGATCCTGGGGGGAAGGAGCCGGCTGGGAGCAGGCCTCCCGCGTCTGCCCCAAAGCCCGGGAGCCAGGCCCTGTGTGGGGCAGCTGGGCCGGGCTGGAGGGTGTGGGCAGGGAGAAGGCGCCGGCCCCCAGGCACCGCCCGTCCCGGGGCCTGTGCACAGGCACCTCGGCAGCCGCGCCCGCCCCTCCTGAGCTCAGTCTGTGTGCGCGGGCCTCTCGGCGCCATCACCCCCTCTGCGCCGGCCGGGGCTGAGCGTCCTCCTCGGAGGCGGTCACCGCCTGACCCACCGGAGGAGGCTGGGCTCGGAGCGCCCAGGACCCAGGTGCCAGGCGCAGGGGCTGAGCCAGGCGGCCTCCCTGCTGAGCCCTGGCTGCCCGGTCCCGGGTCCCGGGTCCGGCCTGGGGCGGGCGGGCGGGGGCCACGCACCGGAACACCACGGTGAGGTAGAAGTCGCTGACGGCCGCGAGGCAGGCCACCGCCCCCTGCGGGGCGAAGCGGGTCTTCACGAAGGGCCGCGGGTGGAACATGCTCAGGAGCCGGTGGACGATGACCTAGGGCAGCGAGCGGGCCGTGGCTGCGGCCGCGGGCGGGGGTCCGGGGGGGTGGACAGCGGGGGAGGGGGGGCGGGCACAGGGTCAGGGGGAGGTGGACAGCGGGGGGCGGGCACAGGGTCAGGGGGAGGTGGGCAGCGGGGGGGGCCTGGCACAGGGTCAGGGGGAGGTGGACAGCGGGGGGGGCCTGGCACAGGGTCAGGGGGAGGTGGACAGCGGGGGGGGCCTGGCACAGGGTCAGGGGGAGGTGGACAGCGGGGGGCGGGCACAGGGTCAGGGGGAGGTGGGCAGCGGGGGGGGCCTGGCACAGGGTCAGGGGGAGGTGGACAGCGGGGGGGGCCTGGCACAGGGTCAGGGGGAGGTGAACAGCGGGGGGCGGGCACAGGGTCAGGGGGAGGTGGACAGTGGAGGGTGGCCAGGAGGTCAGGGGGAGGTGGACAGCGGGGGGGAGCCTGGGGGTCAGGGGGAGGTGGACAGCGGGGGGTGGCAGGAGGTCAGGGGGAGGTGGACAGCGGGGGATGGGGGGGCGGGCACAGGGTCAGGGGGAGGTGGACAGCGGGGGGGGCCAGGAGGTCAGGGGGAGGTGGACAGCGGGGGGCGAGCACAGGGTCAGGGGGAGGTGGGCAGTGGGGGTTGGGGGGGCGGGCACAGGGTCAGGGGGAGGTGGGCAGCGGGGGTTGGGGGGGCGGGCACAGGATCAGGGGGAGGTGGACAGGGGGGGTGGGGGGGCCTGGCACAGGGTCAGGGGGAGGTGGACAGTGGGGGTTGGGGGGGCGGGCACAGGGTCAGGGGGAGGTGGGCAGTGGGGGTTGGGGGGGCGGGCACAGGGTCAGGGGGGAGGTGGGCAGCGGGGGTTTGGGGGGCCTGGCACAGGGTCAGGGGGAGGTGGACAGCGGGGGGGCAGGGTCAGGGGGAGGTGGACAGCGGGGGGGCCTGGCACAGGGTCAGGGGGAGGTGGACAGCGGGGGGGCCTGGCACAGGGTCAGGGGGAGGTGGACAGCGGGGGGGGCCTGGCACAGGGTCAGGGGGAGGTGGACAGCGGGGGGGGCCTGGGGGCCAGGGGGGAGGTGGACAGCGGGGGAGGGCCTGGGGGTCAGGGGGAGGTGGACAGCGGGGGGGGCAGGGTCAGGGGGAGGTGGGCAGCGGGGGGGCCTGGCACAGGTCCCGGTGCAGACTGGCGGGGCAGGGCCCCCTCACCTCCTTGCCCTTGGGCGGCGGCGGGTAGAAGCGGTTGTTGGGCAGGTAGCCGGTGAGGACGCTCAGCTCGCTGGGGATGAGCCACCAGGGCTCGCCCAGCGCCTGGCCGCGCGGCGGCAGGAAGGCCCGGAAGTGGCGGGCGGCGAGCTGTGCCCGCGGCGAGGCGGCGGCCGTCCAGTCGCGGAGGCCGGACAGGGCCAGGCGGGAGACCTGGCGGGAGGCCGCAGCTCTGGGCGGGCACCGCGGCTTGGGGCCCGTCCGCGTGGGGGGGGCTAAGGCCAGGGGCTGCGGTTGGAGCTGAGCTGAGGAGAGGCACCTTTCGGGGGAGGAGAGGCCCCCGAGGGCTGGGTGCCCGCTCCTTCCATGTGATGAGCCACAGGCGGGGACGAGGGAGACCGTGCCGGCCGTCCGCACCGGCCTGGGGTGGAGCCCGCAGGCCCGAGGGCACCCCCTGCGGCAGCTCCGCCCGCCCTGCTGGGCTCCAGGGGCTGTCCCTGCCCACCGAGCCTCCGCCCAGGACGCTCAGCCACCGGGAGCTGCCTCTGTCTCGGACCCAGCGGGTCCCTCTCCGGTGCCCACCTCCACGGCGATGGCGGGGGTGGGGCACAGGCTCAGAGAGAAGGGGGACCGGGAAGAGGGGCAGGGAGCTCCCCGAAGGAGGAGGAACAGGCAGGTCCTCACGGCACACCGGCTGGGCAGGGCCCGGCATCACAGGGTCCTGTTGGGTCCTGCTCACAGGGTCCCGCTCCCGGGACCTGCAGGGGAGCGGCCTGCAAAAGGGGCCGCCCTGCCAGGGGGCGGACTGGGCGCTGCTCTCACCCCCCCTCCCCTGTAAGCGCAGGCCCTCACTGCTCTGCAGGGGATTCATTGCTCATTTAGCTTCACCCCAGCTCCAGGCTCATCCCCACCAAACCCATCTCCACCCAGCACTGTGCATGGAAGGCAAACCCGGGCTTCAAACCGCTCACTAGACCCCCCCAGACATCCCCTAAGGGCCTCACTTCAGTCTGTCCAACCCCCGCTCTGTCTCCACCAGATCTGCTTCCTCCCTCCGGTCCGCGGGGCTAACGGCCGCCTCGCTCCTGGCCACCGGCCAGAGCCTGAGTCACCCTGTCACTTCCCATCAGCGGCCACGCCCCGCGCCTCCCACTGCACCCTCCAGGCTGTCCTCCTCCAGCGCCTGCTCTCAGGGCCTCATCCGGGCTGTTCAGGTCCCAGGATGGGCTGGACCTTGTCCACGGGGCCTCAGGCCGACGGGCTGGTCAGCAAAGCGTTTGTCAGGCCCCCGCCCCCCAGGCCCTGCTGGGGCAGAACCTCAGGTCCGAGTCACGGAGCACCAGTCAGGTGCGGGGCATCGTGCTAAGGGCCCGGGGATGGGGTGGCAGACGTGGGGGACACAGGGCCGGCCCTCAGCAAGCACAGCCTGCGGGGAACAGACCGACTTGCAGAAAGCAACGGTTCTAATGAGGCGGCTGCACCAACAGCCTCCAGGGCACGGCTGTGTCCTCCAGCCCGTCCTTCCTGCCCGCCTCACCGGCCAAGCCTCCTCCTCCTGCAGCCTGCCAGGTGGCTGCTCCAGGAAGCCGGCCCAGACCCCATCCGGGCTCCAGGCTCACGCTCATCCCGCCTGCCTCCCCACCGGACTGTGTGCCCAGACGCGGGGATGGCATCGCACTCGCTCTGGACCCCCAGGGCCGGGCGCCGGGGGCGCAGAGGGCAGCGATGGAGGAAGACGGAAAGACGGAGAGATGAGCACAGCCCGTCCTCAGGTGGCGAGCGCACAGACGGCCCTCCTCCCTAAGTCCCACCCGTGGGGACCCCCGGCCCCACCCCAACGCACCCCCAGGAAGCCGTCCTTGCTCTTGGTCATGGACTCGGGGAGCAGAGGCTGGAACCGGGCTTCTATGGTGAGGGTCTCCTCGCTGGGGTCCGGGGGCAGCTCCTCCTCCTCGTAGCTGGTGGTGGGCGTGGACCCTGCGAGACACAGACGGAGAGGGCCAGCCCTCAGCATCCACTCTGGCCTGTGACTGAGGGAACCGGGCCTGGAGCTGGGGTAGCAGTGAGCCTTCGCTCACGTAAGAACCAACACGTGTCCCATTTTCGTGTCAGAGTAGCCCTGGGAGGCAGACAGCATCACTGTCCACTCCCAGGTGATGAATGAGAAACGGAGGCTCAGAGAGGTCGTGTCACTTCTCCAGGGTCACACAGCGAGGCAGTGGGGGTCAGGGTTCAAACCCAGGCCTGTGTCACTCCCTCTTCTGGGGGAGGTGAGCTCTCAGGGCCTCCGTCTCCTCCAAGAACGAAGCAGGGACCGGATCAGGCCATTTTCGCGGTCGAGGGAAGAGCACTGACTTGGGAGGGAGGAGCCTGCTCCGCCCCGAGTCCCTGTGACATCATTTCCAGTGTGTGAGGAGGGCTGGGCCGGCAGGGGCTGACCGGGATTTCTCAGATCTCTTCCTGCTCAGAGAGGGCCGGCTAAGTCTGTGACCTTTCAGGTGTAGGAGTCCTGGTGAGGGTTTACGGGGGAAAGGAGGGGACGAATGGAAGGGCAGGGCCCAGGACACAGAATAAAGCAGCGGCGGGTCCTGTCACACCTGCTCTCCCAGGGCAGGCTCCTGGCAGGGACGACACGTGGTGCCATCTGCCATCTGCTGACAGACTGCCTGGGTGCATCAAAACAGTTTTGTTTTGTTTTTTAATATATTTTATTGATTTGTTTTTTACAGAGAGGAAGGGAGAGGGATAATTAGAACAACCATGAGAGAAAAACATCGATCAGCTGCCTCGTGCACACCCCCTACTGGGAATGTGCTGGCAACCAAGGTCCATGCCCTTGGCCGGAATCGAATCTGGGACCCTCGAGTCTGCAGGCCGACGCTCTATCCACTGAATTCAATCGGTCAGGGCTGGCAGCAGTTCTTAACCGAGATCATCAGAATTCCCCAGGAAGCTTTCTGCGCTTCCAGATGCCCAGGGCCCATCTCAGACCTGCTGAGCAGGAACCCGAAGGGGCTGGAATCAGCGAACTGCCCTTCTAACTGGCACCCCCAGGGCTCCCGCCATGAATCCCAGTCCTAAAGAATCACTGACATTCCTGCATTTGTAAGTCACTGCAGCCAATCTCCCCTAAAACCGGCAAATCTCCCCTAAAACCGGCCACCTGGGGCCTCAGAGGAAGGGACAGTAGGCATGCTTGCTTATTTTACTGTTGTCCAGATTATTATTAATAAGGCCCAGCCGAACCCGGTTTGGCTCAGTGGTAGAGCGTTGGTCTGCGGACTGAAAGGTCCCAGGTTCGATTCCGGTCAAGGGCATGTACATTGGTTGTGGGCACATCCCCGGTAGGGGTTGTGCAAGAGGCAGCTGGTCGATGTTTCTCTCTCATCGACGTTTCTAGCTCTCTATCCCTCTCTCCTCCCCTCTGTAAAAAAATCAATAAAATATATTAAAAAAATAATAATAAGGCCCAGCATTTTATGGCCCTTTCGTTTTTTAATAAAAAGTTTGATTTCCTGATTTATAAGTAACAGTTGCTCATTATAGACAGCTTGTGAAACTTTTAAGGTATAAAGCAGGAAATTAAACACTCATAACTGTACCAACTAGAGAGACTGTTGGCCCTTGTCACTGCTTAGATTTGGTGTTTTGTGTTTTTGCTGTTTTTTTTAAATTTTGTTTTCCCCAAACTTGGTCCAGTTTTGCACTCACAGTGGCCTCAAAGGTAAGGGGATTTATTTTTTAAAAATTAAAATGTCCCCCAAGCCCAGCAGGCG